ATTCTATTCTATTCTATTCTATTCTATTCTATTCTATTCTATTCTATTCTATTCTATTCTATATTATTTATTATTATTAGTGTATGGCCTGTCAGCAGTTGCTACTACATCTACTACTAGATATTACTATATTACTACATCTATCACAGATATAGGCTTATGCAAAAAGAATATACATATTTAAGACTGGCCTGGTGATGTGGATTATTTGATTCTTTCTCCATCTAGAAACACAATTTACTTCTAATGTCACGCTAAGTATAAATTACAGAATATGTGAGCAAGCTTTTAATACTGCCAACATTAGGGAACAATTGCAGCTTAAATATGCTTTATCAATCCAGCATTTAATGAGAATAGAGAAACTCCAAATTCCTTTTTATCAGATTTCTGAAGTTAGGTGAAAGGACTAATGTCAGGGCTACCAGCCAAATGGATCTCCAAAAGCTGCAGTTTCCATATAGTTAGGGAGATTACAACTATAGAAAAGGAGCTAGTAAAGGCTTTACTGCTACTACTGCTACCCCCATGCCACCAACAAAGATTAAGAACTTTAATTCAGCTGTGGGCCATTGCTGCAGTACTTGATCATTCTAACACATGAAGTTGTCGCAAACAAAATTATCTACAAGCCAACAAGTCTGCTCCACACAACCAGAAACGCATAGAGATTTATAAATCAATTATTCCAGGATGTAAAGTATGGCACACAACAGAGTAAAAACAATTGTAACAATAAAATCACAGCAGCATTTCAACTGATCTTCTTCTGTAATAAACTCAGAGAAGAAAAAGCAATGAAATTGTCAGGCGCGAACAACCAGATCAACACATGTAGAGTTCAAGCTAACTACTGTATTATGTTCTGCCTATTAATACAGAAATTTCCCCAGACTGGCAGACTTATCTTGGGAACTAATAGATCAGGGGTGTCAAACTCAATTTCATTGAGGACACCATCAGCATTGTGTTTGACGTTGGGGGGGGCTGGGGGGGTGTGGCCAGCTAAATGTCATTTGTATTAGGGGCGCCTTTGATGGCCCGAGCACTCTGCCAACAAAAAGGGGGACCCGAGACTTCCGGTTTGCCAGGCTTCGGCGGCGGCGGGGTTTCGCGATCCTGCGCGATCCCTGTTGCGCTAGCCATCTTGGTGCCTCCGATCCTGACGGGCCTGGAAAATAAGGCTGCCCCGTAGAGGCAGCCGAAGACAGGGGGGATCCAGACAGGGGTTTGGGGTTTTCGCAGACCCCCTCCCCACCTGGCACAACCCCCTTTTCTCAAGGCGGTGGAGCGGCGGTCAGTAATGGCCGCCACAAAGAAGCCGGCAGCTGGACAAGATTGTGCTGGAGGAAGAAGGAGAAAGTTTTGAAGCGAAAGTTTTTTGGCTGAACTGGGACTATAAGATGCATTTAATATCCTGAAAACCTTGACTTTCTGAACGATATTTTGTTTCCAGAAGAGATTTATAAGCGGCGAGTGAAAGTGCTGAAAGAGAAAGTTTACTCTCCTTCCCTATGGAATTAACAAATGGACACTGAAAAGCCTGCTATTTTATAGAAGGTAAAAATTTAAAGCTCTTTGTTACAAGTGGGAAGGGAGAGGACAAAAGAGAAATTTATATTAAGATCTTGTTGGAGGAGATGCCTGGAAGATTTTGAGACTGGAAGTTAATTGCAATAAGACTTTAAAATACAGATTGGGTTTTTTTTTCCCCTTTCCAATTGATATTACCCCAGGAAGAAAAACTGTGAAGGGAAGAACTTTGTGCTCTGTTTGGATTGCTTGATGACTTTGGGATTTTGGGGAATTGTTCTAAGCTTTGAATTATCTTGGTTGTTTTAAGAAGAAGAAGAGGGAAAAGAAGAAGAAGAAAAGGTTTATAATGGCTTTATCTGTTGATGAACTGAGAGAGGAATATGGAAAAATAAAGAAAGAAGGCAAGGACGCTTTGAGAGAAATTTTTCGCTTTTTAGAAATGGCGCTTGCTACTTATCAGCAAACACAACAATTGATGGAGGAGGAGGAGGAGGAGGAGGAGGAGGAGGAGGAGGAGGAGGAAGAAGAAGAAGAAGAAGAAGAAGAAGAAGAAGAAGAAGAAGAAGA